GTTTTTTTTTTTTTTTGAATGGAAAATCGAATCCAATCATAAACTACTCTTGCATTCGTTTATGTCCCATTTAAACTCTCGGCGTGAAAGAGAAAACACGAACATCTGATACAATTTGATGGCTAGAAGCCTTTGGTATTATCAATGTAATTTTTATATTTAATTTCTTAAAAAATAAGAAATAAAACATACATTTCTTTGTGGCAGAACAACGTTAAAGACCAAAACCATTACTTTTTTTTTGAATCGGCAAATCTAATCTACTACTAAACTAACAACACCTATTCTACATATGTCCACGACGGGACTTGAACCCTCGGCCTCAAAGAAAGAGAGTACCACCTGATAGCGCTGGGTTACAAGCCCTTTGGTCCAAAACCATTACTTAAGACAAGAAAACAATCCTAAGGTCTGATTTAAAGAGAATCTATTTAAATATAAACAGTGGATCAACCAACTCAATTCCCAAAAGAGCAACTCATTTATTTCAACATTAAATTTTGTTTGACCATATATTTGGTCAAATGTTAATGAGAACTTCATACAATATAAAATTGTGGTATGTATTAAATGGTGAAAAAATGAAGCTGATCGAACGAAATGTTCAATCATTACGAATCCTTTTGCCTCATTGGGGTGCACAGTGCCCTAAAACAATAATCGGTCAACAATGACTTGTTCCCTTGAATGTGTTGTCAAGGAGGGTGGTTAAAAACAATGTTAACTGAATTATGTTTAAGTTCTATATTTGTTGACATGGCTCAACTCGTTACTAACATGGATATAATGCGTGATAAAAATTATTGTAACAATTTCATTAAATGAAAATCTAAGTTTTGCTTTTATACCAACAAAGAAAAAATAAAGAAACATTAAAAATGTAGTAACTAAATTGACCGTTTATTTATTTATTTATCTATTTGATCATCAAAGATTATTAAAAAAAAAAAAAAAAAAAAAAGTCTAACGTTCGGAAAAAAAAATACATTGAATTTGTGATGGTAGTTATGTTTTGAAGCCAACCAATTTAAGGTGTTGTTTGTTTTTTTAAAAAAAAATGTTGTCGATTTGCAAACTACATCTGTAGGATAAAAGCAGACCACATCTACGGTAGAAGAGTTGAGCCAAAAGTTAACAGTTTGCAAAAAAATATTGTTTATTTTTTTAAATATACAAACTACTAAAATAAATTGATTTGTTGTTTCCATGGTTGCATTTCTTTAATAGCATGCAATGTTTATAGTTGCCTCTCCAAGAATGCGAGATCTAAAAGATCCTTAGAACAAAAACAAAACAAATAAAATTCTCAAGGTTAAATTGTAAAATTTTAGATTTAGAGGATCAAGATCTTTCATACCATGGAAACAACAAATTTGAAAATATGTTCTAAAGAGTCATATGAGATCTAGATAGATTCAGATAGAGTTTATGTCATTTGATAGTTTTCATTTCGCACCAGAGCTTTGTTTGATCTTGTAGGAGACTATAATCAGGATAAACAAAAACAAAATAAAATTTGACGAAAGTTGAGGCCTCTGCTTGACATAGTTTTCTTAAAACAAATTTGAACTATATCGGGTGTTTATTTCCCATGACACAACAGCAAAAATGGTTCTTCAAGACCGCCGAACTCAACAAGATTCGGATATTACCTTGTTACGTGCTAGAAAACGCAACCTTAAAATTGAAAAGAGTGGGGAGTTTTTGGGATCTTTTTTACCATATACAATAATACTTCATTTATAGTGTAAATTTGTAACTATCATCATAATTATAATTTATGGTGAACAAAACCAACAACTTAATTGCAAAATTAAATCAATATTAAACACAAAAAATGTAACTGAAATTATGCTAATTACTTATTTTAATTTAATTTTAAATAAAATTTAACAAAATAAGAATTTTGCTTAATTTAATTGTTTAAACATTTAACCACTCAATCAACCATTCAAACACCCACTTTGGTGATAAGTTTCTCATTCATTTTTTTCAACTTTCAACAAATCTTGCAATTATTTTTTTTATGTACACTAGAATCTTGTCCCATACTTTTAATACTAATACCTATGATGATAAAACCTTTTAATGAATCACCATGGATATGAACGCAATACAAGGTACAAGAAATCATCAAATATTATAGCAACACTTTTAGATTGCGAGAACGATATCAAAAAATCATCAAGAGTCACCACCTTATCCTTAGTAATTTTATCAAACACTTGAAATGTAACATTTGGTATAACTCATAAGAAAAAATACACAAAACCAACAAACTTTTACCAAAAAGTATGATGGATCAAACAAAACAATGCAGAAAACCAACAAATCTCGCCATAAATTTATTAATCTTTCACATAGAAAACAAGAACATCAAAATTTTACAATAATCGCAATGCACAAAGATGATTAATGGGTTGTCGTTGGTTGTTGTTGTCGATGGAAGAGTGTAAAAAAAAAAGATGTTTTTTAAATCATGTGTGCAAAGGACGCACATAACCCACATTGTTCCTAGTAGAGGACGAGCATACCTTTTTTTGGTATACGGTTTACTAAAAAACAAATGATTTATAAGGCAAAATGTTTGCTGGTTGTTTATACGATGTACATAAAAGTAGTCAAGAAGCTCTTTTTGAAAAAACAAACACCTAAAATTATTACTACTATTGTACTACTGTTAACTGACAAAAAAATGATTGTATCGCTATAAAATCAAAAATAGTGGTTTTTCTTGGTTTATCAAAAAATACAATTTTTTATCTATGCAATTGACCATTTGTATACGACTTTGTTTCATGATGTGAACTCTAGCAAAAAGTGGCTTAGGTAAATGTTCTTTGTTTTTCTATGTTCGTTTTTTTGTCATGACGACCTTGGTTGAGCAACTTACCAAACCTCTAACGCAAAATTATTAATTAAACGACCTAAGAATCGCCTAAAATCACAACCAATTAGTTGATGATAATAACCTATTGTATTTATTGTTTCTATCTAACTAGTTTACAAGATAACCGAAGTCGTTGAACTTATAAAGGTGCTACCACATGATAGTTCCATGTAGATGAAGATATAGTGTGTGATGTTTGCAAGGAAGAGATTCAGATATTTATCTTTAACAAAAGTTTAGATTCATATATTTCTAAGCAATGATTCGATGAATATATAGGAGTATCGTTTTGACTAGATAAAATTCTTTTTAATGATAATAAAACAAGATTCAACACATGATTATATGTGATGGTGGCGTGATTGAACTATTTTAAATCGGTTGCACTCCCACACTCCCACATATTTGGTATGACCAAACCATGAAAAGCCCGACATATTTATTTTACTACAGTTTCACTTGTATTTTGCAAGAAATGTTTTACTCATATTTGAATTTAAATCAATGCATTCCTTTTTGAATTTAAGCTCTTAAACTCATTTTTCAGAGCTTAAATTCAAAAAGGGGTGAATGGATTAAGTTCCATAAGTTATTAATAGGAGTGGTTTGGAATGAATGAAAATGTTTCCTTGAAGCTTATATGAAAAAGAGTGAATTTTGGAGAAGTTCAAAAATCACTAAGTAGTCTAATTTGGAGCTTCATAACTCAAAGTCTAAAGCCTATATGTGCTAGGACTGATAGCGTTCTAAATGAAAACTATAGTTAAAAGATTATACCAAATCTGAGTTTGTATGAAAAAGTTGTAGGAGTTTGAAGTTAGGAAAAAAATTCTATTAACTGTGAAAAAATAAGAAAAAAATCTCAGTCTTGGAAATTTCCGAACAGCCGAGAGGCCTAATTTGGAGCTTTTAAAGGATTTTCCAATGCCCAAATATTGATTGTAATATATCAATAGAAAGCCCTTGCTACAAAGAACGTAATGAAAATGAATCGGGTTAATTGGAGTTCCTATAAAGAATATATGTGGGTTCAAATTTAGCAAAAAATTAACATTAGACAAATACGAAATCGCAACCAATCAATTGAAATTGCAGTCCATGAAGGTCCAACTATGATTTTGATGGTTATATGGGTTATTTTTTAATTGTGTGGCTATTTCTTTGAAAGAAACTAGTGAATTGAGCCAAATTTGTCTTTTTTTCTCAAATAATAATCTAAGTGGTAACACTTATCTAAACAAATCTTTAATTATATAAGTGAACAAATTATATATTTTATAAAAACAAAATTGGTCATTTTATAAAGTATTGCCTTCTGTTATTTATTTATTATTATTTGTTTTTTATTGTTTTTGGTTAGCATCGTTATGCCTTTTGTGGAACCAAAAATTGAGAAAGTGCACCTTGTGATTCTAGTTAAAAGACTACTTTTCTAAGTGCAGTCCAGCGTCTCCTTTTGTAACTAGATAGAGAGATACATGAGTGATTATTGTACCTAAGGTTTGAGTTCTACCACATGACAGTGACTCTATGTTGTAAATCGGTAAAGTGGACTAACCTCCACTTTATATCTATTTTCTTTAAATAGATTGTATCTTCTATATGAGGATATGAATTCGTTTGTAAACTTAATTTGGAAATCTGATTGCAGTTGAATCGAATGCCTCAACTCCCATGTATTGTTATATTAAAGCTACGCAGTCCGACACATATAATAAATACAATATATAATGGGAAATCAAGACATACACAGCCTTAACACAGTTGCGTGAACATCAAACTGGTGCTATAAATTCTGGTTACCAAACCTCAAATGGAAAACTTAACAAGTGAACAGTAATAAATCAGCTGATGATCGTGATGATAACTTATTGTGTTTAGAGTTCCTATGTGGCAAGCTACTTAGTATGTGCAGGAAACAAAACAAGTATACAACAATCAAAATTCAAAACAAAACAAAACAAGGAGGAATACAATGAAACTACCTTGGCTTGTACAAACCAGACCAGAGCATCACATTACATTAATTCTACTAACACAGAAAGATAAAGCATTTTTTCCATATAACTTCTTAGACCTCATAAAATTTAATTAAAAAAAAAAAAAAAAAACACAGAACAGACTTGCAACAGCCACATTGAAACACCTACTACTTTAATTTTTTTTTTCTCTTTCTTTTGATATAATAATCTCAAGACCATTTTCTGAACATACATACCCGTCCGTGTAAGGTTAAGCATTGTATGTGAAATAAGTCATGGTTTGTGAAGCTTGAAGCCGAATACTCTTGGGGTGTAGCTTTGTATGGCCTTTTGTGGCTTCAGGTGTCCATAACTCATCAAGAACAAGTGAGGGAAAGTCGTTCCAAAATAAGCACCATCAATATCTATTATGCAACCAAAGTCAAGGAACACAAACATACAAAAAAAAAAAAAAAAATCTTTATCAAATATTTTAATAAAGGATACTGCCTTGGTATTTGGATCGAGGGTAGTAGATATCTTCACATTTAGGACAGTAAATTTTGACAGTGCTGGATCGGGGTATGTCGGATTGACCAACAGGAAGACAGGGTTGTCCACAGCAGTAAACTCTTGGGCACCTTCCAAAGTCGTAATTTTTGTACTTTTCCAACTATATATAATGTTTTAAGCACTACAAATCTCAATATGTATATTTTATAAAATTATATATGAACAAACATGAAAAAGAGAATAGAGCTGTACCATTGCAGACATTCCACGGGTGGTCAATATGTAGCGCACGTGAATCAGGCCATACAGCATCTCAGCTGCTGACTCAACCAGTTCATTTTGTTCTTCAGTGAACATATCTCCTGCTTATTTATAAAACAAATCACCATCACATGAATCAGGCCATTACATGTCTAGAAAGAGATAAATTGTTTAAAGGAATATACCCAACAATTTAGTAGAATATCCAAGATTCAGAAAAAGTATGAGAATACAGGGAGGGTGTAGAGCTTACCATGAGAAGATTCTGCATCTAAGATTAGATCAAGTGCATAATCAAAATAAGGAACTTGACTGCTTAACCCACACAGGTTGAAATCATCTTGAATGTACTCATCATCAACTTCACAGAAAAATTCATTTCCTCGCAAATTGCAAAACCATGAAATCCAAGATGTATCATCCTCATCTGAACCACTAACATCAGACTCCTCGCTGTCTGTTTCAGATTCATCTGCAATTACAACCAAAAATAAATGTCATTATGTATTGTAAGAGATAAAACCCCAAGTTTAGGTTGTAGAACAAATGTGCATTCATCTTCTTATACATTCAAACATGCCATTAAATGGGTAATTCATCTATCCAAACCACAAGACAGAATCTGATCAAACAGGCTAATATTTGCATAAACACAACAGTAACCCAGGCATCCATTCATGCAAGATAAGCACTTAGAACATCATTTCCAATATTCTTGAAAATATGAATGTAGTGTGTGTATGATTAAATTTGACTCATAACAAAGACTCTGCTTAACATATTCACAGCAATAAAAATAAAGTCAGGTAATGATACGGTGTAGATATGCATAATCCCAAGTGATATCTTTTTCACACGAATATATGCCATAGATGATTGAATCTAACAGATTTAAGTAATGCAAAGAGCTCATCCACAATTATTCTTCTATCAGCATACCATAACGTTCGGAAAGTACAGATTTTTCAGAAGAAAACAAACCATCGGAGCCCTTGTTTTTGGGGTTGGCAAGAGTAGAGGAGGAACGGTTGTCACGATGGTGGTCCATGTGATGAGATTTTCCACCGCCACCTGCTGCAGAAGTTGACGGCATAGACAATTTTTCTTTCTCCTTGCTATTATTATTCAAAACCCTGGAGGTCGAAGATGACGTCTTTTCTAAGTGCTTGTCCAAGGCATCATTGATTCGTTTCCGATCCAACGGTCCACCACCTCCTCCTCCAACCATTTCCGACTTCGCCGAAGATCCACCTCGATCCCTGTACATAAATATTGGTATATTCGTACGTATATGTAGATATCTCTCTAAGTTTCCGAAGAAACTATAGATCTGATTCAAGATTTCGTTTAACCTAATTGAATAAAAGAAAGAAAAATAAAGAAAAGAAGATCAAGGTTCTAAGGGACGAAAAGGGGTGCATCCACGAAGATTGAACAAAGGGAGATGGGAAAAATTAGGGTTCGTGAACATCGGAAGAGAGAGCTAAAGCTCTTATTTTCTCTCTCCTCTTTCTTCGTTTCCTATTCTTGATTTTTTAGTGGGAAATTAATTTTTTTATTCCCATAAATGTATTTGCTTAAACATTATTTTTTTAAATATTTGAAAGAATTTTATCGACATAATCATAAAATAATTGTCCATTATGCTATAATTCAATAACAATTATTTTAACTTTAATAGAAAAACCTAATTGATCAACATGATATTTTTAATCAAACTTAATCGGTGATTCTTTATTAATCGCGAATAATCGTAGAAACACTTCGAAAAAAATGATATAAATGCAACAATTTATAATTTTTGACGATTTTTCCGCAAATCAGCTTATGTCTATCAAGACCTCGGATCAATGTGTTGGTATATCTACATATGTTAGCTTTTTTCTTTTTATTCGTATATTTATTCTTGAAACCTTAAATACATTTCGTGATATTTTACCTTCATGTTTTTTGAAATGATACATGGATTATTTAACGTGTTGGGTCAATTAGACAATATATCTAAATAGCCACTCAGCTATTTTTCTATGTGTTTACAGATATAACTATTCGCAAAATCCTTAACAAACTTACGCAATGTCATTTTATATATATTTTTTACTTATGTGGAGGTTATTTAAGATATTAGGTTAATATGGTACAATATATTTACATAATACCCACCTCTACATTGCTTCTTATCTTATCCTTGGTATGTTGCAAGTTGTAAGTTATAAATAATACTATAATAATAGTACACTCATAAAGTCAAGTCAACCAAATTCCCTCGTAACTAATGGGCTAAACCCATGTATACTAGTGACTTTCCTAGGCTCAAGAGTTAACAACTCCAAGCCCATATTGGAGTATTTCCATTAACTAAACTTTAGTTTCCATTTTGGGCCAGGCCCTATAGTACTGGACTTTGACTTCCCACATTACAAAAAGTCAAGATTACAAATTTGACTTTTCACTTTTCCTTTTCTCTCATCTTTCCTCTTTTTAGGCACCTCACTTTTCCCCCAAGAAAACCCATCATTTTCTCTTGATACATTCTCCTCCTTCTTCTTCATAACCAAAGTCTTTCCTCAATCAACCAGGGTTTAAATTTCTACAAGTTCTTCAAGGTCAAAATCAAGAAAGTCAAAGTCAAAATGAGTACAACCACAAAGTTTATAAAATGTGTTACAGTTGGAGATGGAGCAGTTGGAAAGACTTGTCTTCTTATTTCCTACACCAGCAACACTTTCCCCACTGTAAGTCTCTTCTTCTGTTCTTCTACTCACTGTGTGTGTGTGTGTGATCTTGTTGAAGGTTTGACTTTTGACTTTTCTTGGAAATTTATGTTCTTCGTTGAAACATATATATATTTTTGTTTTTGCAGGATTATGTTCCAACGGTTTTTGATAATTTTAGTGCAAGTGTTACTGTTGATGGCCAAGTTGTGAATTTGGGTCTGTGGGATACTGCTGGTACACCCCTTTTTTACATTTTATATGCATTTTTCATCTTTTTATTCATATCATCATGAAAATGAGAAAGTTTTTTGTTTTGAATGTGTGTGTATTATAATTAAAATCAATAAGATATGTATTTTTGAATGCAAGTGTGTAGTATGATTAATATTTTCAAAAGTTTTCACCTTTGTTACTTACAAAATGTTCATCACTTATATAAAATATAGTTTAATTAAAACAAAAGTATATGAATTTTTATTATATTCATCAAATTAATTTACTTGTTATAAAGTATACTTTGCAAACACTATAATTATTACATAAGTTTGCATGGGTGTATTAGTATTACTCACATACGTACAATAATTACTAATAATCTTAAATATCTAAGAATAAAAATTTAGATTATTTTCTATGTTGAATAAACGGAAAAAACAAAATCAATATATAGATAATGAAGTTAAAGCATATATACATTGCATATGAAGGGTGGTATTCTCTATGTCATGTCATATAGTTATTATCAAATATAAATTATTGTGAAAATGCCGTTCTTTGTCCTCTCCAAACATAATAAACCAAAATACTGTTTTATTTCTTTATACTTTTTACTATTTATATAAAAAGAATTAACATAGTAAAATCCTTACTTTATGACACAATAAGAAAAAAAAAAAAAAAAAAAAAAAAAAAGTCGATGTGCAAATAGACAACATTCATTTAGTAAATCCACTATTGTACTATGTCTATGCTTCTTATTTAGGGAATGATAGAAAGAAAAACACCCTCCCTTAGTTATTAATTGGAATCTATTATAATTTGTTATTTAAAATCATATAGTACAAAGAGCATTATGTTATATAGTGGACCAAACGATAATGATTGGGATGAAAGCCCCAATATGAAATTGGCTCGAATTTTGCATAGGGATAAAAAGTACTTTTTGGAGGCTTGCCTTGCCTTGGTGTTATAATTATAACAAATAAGTAATCATGTGACATTGCCTCCAATGTGATATGGCATTCCAATATCATATATTTGATATTGTCGGGTGATAAATTAGTTGGGGTTTGACAATCTGTTTGTACAAGTAGAAAAACGATCCTTGATTGACGATTGTTACATACAATTAATTATGTTGAATATATTATATTGAAAACAAAAAAAAAAATGTAAAAATTGTAAACAGGTCAAGAAGACTACAATAGGTTAAGGCCACTGAGCTACAGAGGAGCTGATGTTTTCATCCTTGCTTTTTCTTTGATAAGTAGACCTAGCTTCGAGAACATTTCCAAAAAGGTATGTATGTATGTATATTCAATTATATCATATTCTTTTTCTTATCATATTTAATAGAATAGACATGTATGTATATTATCACATCAATCTTTTCTTCTCAATTCTCAAACATGACACATGAAGTTTTGTCCTCGTTTTTTGCCATATATATTATGAAAAATGAAAATGTACTACTACTCTATTTGTGTATGCAATTGATTGAGATGATGTGTAGCACTAACAATAGTGATTTCTTTTGTTTTGGTTGAAAAAAAAAAAAGTGGATCCCAGAGTTGCGGCATTACGCACCCTCAGTGCCTATTGTTCTTGTGGGGACAAAGCTAGGTTGGTTTGCTTTCTTTTTCTCGTTATTAATATTTACGCTTAAAGATGAGAAAACGACTTTACAGACTAAATACGCCAATAGATAGAGTTAGTTAAGGGTAGCAATGTAAGCTTTGTAAAATCAAGGAACGGACTATACTATATTTACAATTTGCACCCTTAGTTATAAGCATAAGCATTAAGCAAGCCTCTTTCTTAAAATTTACATGATTACATCTCCTCCTTTAGTTTGTTTCATACTTGGTTGGATAAACAGATTTGAGAGAAGACAAGAAGTTTCTAATGGACTATCCAGGGGCTTCTACTATATCCACATCACAGGTACAACTTACTTGTGGTTTTTAAGGAGTTTGTATGCCAACAGGGACTCTTAATGTAAAACTGGAAAAGTAAAGGGATTCTGAGAGTCACGAACTCTTACTAATATAAGTTTTAGTCCCTCAAGAATCATAATTTGAGGATTTCCTTTTTCAATAATTAATTCGAATCCAGGGTGAAGAACTAAAGAAGCAAATAGGGGCAGTCGGTTATGTGGAATGCAGCTCCAAGACACAACAGGTTTTGTGACTTTGTTCCAAGTTCCAACCATCATATTCATATTCATATATAATACATGTTACTAGCATTTACAAGTAGTAGTGCTGATGTCATGTGTGATGTGTGATGCATGCAGAGTGTGAAGACAGTATTTGACGTGGCAATCAAGGCAGTCCTTCAACCTTCAAAACCAAGCAAACAAAAGAAACGACGTCTAGGATGTCTTGTACTGTGAAAAGATTTTTATAAAACAAGTTACAAATTCTGAAAATCATCACAACTCATCTTTCCTAGCTTTATGATTATCCAATTGGGAATGCTTGTGTTGTTCATAAATATAATGATGATTCCCTGAAACTAAAGTATCTTTTATGTTTTATTCATTCTTTTCCTTTTGACTTTTAGGTGGGGTCTTGTTCTTTTTCTTTTTTCTTTTTTCTTTTTGGTAATGCAAAAAAGTTATTTGGATGTCATGTTAATTTGAGTATGGTGATTGGTGATCATGTATCGAGTTGTGTAAAACACACTCAATGTAATAAATAATATTTCAACTACTAAAAAAAAAGAAGCACTCACAGACTGATAGACATAGTCTCAAGATTCCTAATTATTCAAAATCAACCCCATAGTTGTGAAAGTCTCTCACTTTGACCACAAACAACATTATGTTTTTACAATGTCCATGAAAATAGAAGTAAAGAAGTGCAGTAATTTCATGCAGCCATGGCAGGAGGTTGTTCTTGATGATTTCTAGGGTTACCTTTGCGATTCCAAATTGGGGTTGTCTCAATAAGCTTATGTGGCACGAGGCGCCTCTCTCGCTTGGTGAGTTTTGTGAAATTGTGGACTTTTAGCCTGGCGATTTCGACTTCTTCTTCAGGGGTTATTTCCCTTAGAACAACTGTTAGTCTACACTCGGGTCTCACTCTTACTCCACTTCTACCTTTTGCATGATACGACACCCTTTTCTTGAAAAATCCCTTCCCAACAAATGCTTCCGCTGTTGTACCAAATTTTATACAACATTTATAAACTTATCATTGAATTGAATAAACTATATTATTATTATTATTATTATTATTATTATTATTATTATTGTTGTTGTTGTTATTATTACCAACAATAAGGCGATCTGCATCGAATGCATGATTGTGTGTGGCATTAGCTCTGGCTGAGTGGATCACCTGCACAAATCAATCATCAAAATATATATTAAGTGGTTGTGTTTCTTTCTATTACAATTTTTACAACATTAACATTTTTTTTTATTTGCATGTATTAGAGTTTAGAGAGTGTTGTGACCTGGTAGACAGTTTTTGAAGCACGTTTTACTGTCAACTGTAACTGTAATAGAGCATCCTCAACACGCATCCCACGAACCAATGCAGCAACCAAGTTCACCTTCTTTGGGCTCTGAAACCATTAACAAATATTAAAATTAAATAATAGGAAACTA